CTAAAAAAAGTTCTAAGTTTGGTCCAATTCCTTGACATTTTGCGAAGGTTGCCATAAAGTTCCATTATAACAAGTAACACATATATATAACTTTAAGTCAATTCTTACATAGGTCAACAAAGAAAAATTTTATTTTAGTTACTTTTTATTAAATAGTTACAATTAATATAAATATGTATTTACATATGACAGAATCACAATATTCAGTGAAAAAATAGAAAGCGATTTTTCTTGCAATTTTTCATTTTCCTTTCAATATATGGTATTGGGCTATTTTTTTGTTACTATTTATTCATTGATTAAATTTAATTATTCTAATTAAATAGTATAGTAAAAAAGAGTTAGCATTCTAAGAAATTAGACCACTCCAGGTGGGATTCGAATCCACGACCTTTGGATTAGAAGTCAAACGGGCTATCCATTGCACTACAGGGACACAACGAACGATTTTCCTTTCTGTATATGCTGTTGGACTATTATTTTTGCATATTACTATTTATTCGTTTTTTAATTTAATTAATGAATTAATACTTGAAAAAACTTCATTAACATCAAGAGTCATCCACTACAAGTTAAAAATATATATATTTGAACTTAAATGGATGAATAAAATGTATTTTATTAACAATTGAAAATTTGAACAAGATTATATATATATATAATATTTATCTTGTAATGACTAATATTATTTTAAGCAATAATATTTGGTGAACTAAAACAGCTTCGAATCCCTTCTGATTTGACATCTTTGAAAAAGTTAATAGTAACAAAACAAAACAAGTTACAGTAACAAACAAAAATAGTTTCAATTACAAATACTATTTAAAAACTCTTTTAAGTTAATAAGTGATATTTTACAGTATATGAAAGAGACAATTATAGGTGGAAACTATTTGTGTTTTTTGTTATTCCATGGATAATTGATTTTGATGCAATAAATAAAAATGAATATATTTTTAAAGCTTAAACTCAAGCATAGAGTAAAGCATTTTTTTTGTTCAGCAAAAATACATGTTTTAGTTAAAATATTATCATTTAAAACTTGTCCAGATCTTTAATAAAATGTTCTGTGCTTAAATGGTTTTTTAAAAAATTAATTCTTATACATTTTAATTTGAAATACCGTTTCCACGAAACAAAATAAATAAAAATAGGGTGTATGAAAATTCTACATTTAAATAGATCAAGAATGATTCACAGTAAGCAAAAAAAAATTATTTATATGTAACGGGCGAAAAGAACAAGAGAGAGAGAGAGAGAGAGAGAGAAAACTATTTAAAAAATAGCTAAAGTTTCCTATACGTTCAGAGATATTCTTGGCAATTTAAAATAAAGAACCCTACACTTATTTACATTAAGAATTTTTTTTAACAAATTAATATGTGAGCAACAAGCTTAAAAAAAGTCGAATATTCAAGAACAAATCAAGTTTTATGAATAAAAAAATAAGCCTTTTCTATACACGATAACTAGCCTATTATTTTCAGCGCATTTGAAACGAATAATTCAACTTAATACGACTTAACTCTTTTTTTCACGCATGTATATATATACTTACAAAGAAGGAAATCTAGTTAAAATCGTTATAAAAAAAGTGCTTTCAGTTATCATCGAAGCAGGCCTCAATCCTGATGACATTGACAAATTCGATTCTAATTGATAAAACTCTACTTTTTCACTCTATTTATTTTATAACTCAACTCAAACTACCCCTTTTTGATTTTATTCGAATTTAAACAATTTTCTCCCATCGTTTTCGATACTTATTGTCTTTCTAGGTCGACATAATACCTCATATCAAAGTGATTCGATCAAGACAATGAAATTCCTGTTTTCTTTCTTCTTTTTCTTTTCAAGTAGTGTAAGGCAATAATCGACGAACCAAGAAATAAAGCCTAACGACCTCATCTATAGATTTGACCTCAGACTTAACCTTCCCACCCTCTGTTTGCTTAAATCGCTGCAAATCGGAACACAATTTCTTTTCCGATTTTTCTACCGGACATTGTTTCAGAATGTTTTTACGCAACCATTCACTCATGCATGGTCTGTTAAGTATATCAACGAGAGGAAAACAAAGAGATAGGTAAAAGTTTTCGATAAAGGTTCAGTAAACGCCCTCGCGTATACTGGCAAGATTCAACCAAACATTTCTAACACCTATTGGTCACGTTTGTCGACCTTGTTAACACGGAAATTGGCTGCGATCACGATAAAACTTCTTTAAAAGAGTTACAGAAAATCAAAAAGAATAGGAAATTATCAACTAAATGATTTTGGAAGAATGCTGTAATAAAAAGGCGATAAAAAAAGTTTATATGTGTGATTATTATCTTGTGGGAAGATGAATGTATTTCCGGAAATTTCGTGATAAAATTTTTAACATGAATGGTTATAGTTCTAGAAGTTCTAGAATTTTGTTGCGTGTGGTCGAATTTCTAAGACAAGATGAATGAAAAAAATGAAATTATCGACTAACCTTTCATTTTCGACGTGTTTAAACTTTTTCAAACATATTGATTTTCCTCAATATTGTGTAAAGGTAATTTTTTGTTCAAAGATATATTCGCAATGAAACCTAGAGGTATATATGTAACAAGGACAAACACATTTCAGAATGATTAATAATTATAAATTATATCAATCAAGCCACAAAAACCAAAACATTCCTTTTGGGAAGTAGAATAGTAAGAATTTTTGATACATTATAGAATAATACGAATAATAAATCAATTTTATTATAGTACATAAAAGAATTAAAGGCAAATTCGACGATAAAAGCTTAAATACAACTATCACGTTATACAATAAAAATACTTATCTAATAGCTATTGGTCACGTTTGGAAAACTTTTAAACACAAATTCTTCGGAAGCACGATATGTGTTCGATAAAAATGCTAAAAGTGAAAAAAAAAATTAACTCAATGGTTTAAAAGAAAGTTGTTACAAACTAGTTGTAAAAAAAGCTTGTTTCTGATTACTATCTGGCTAAAAATGAAAAGGTATTGGAAATATCGTGACAAGAGTTTTGACAAGAATTATTAAAATTATAGAGTATTGAAAAATGTGGTCGAAGGTTTTCAATTATTTTTAATGGAACGTTTAATAACAAAATTATAAGATAAAGCATGTTATGCAATAATTTATTATGAAAATTTAATTTTTTTTTTTCGGATACAAAATTTATCCCTTTTCATTTAATTTTGTCTGGTTATTTATAAAATAAAGTTTTTAAAACAGGTAAAGTTATAGGTACAATAAACGTAAATATACTTAGAAATAATTGGTAATTATTAAATTCCTTCAATAAACTATCCAAATTGAAGGATATCAATAGTGTTTTTTAAACAATAGATATTATTTAAAGCTTTTTTGCACAAACATTCTAAAAAATCAGAACTAAAATGCCACTAATTAGCTGTTTATTCTTTATCACATTTTCATTCTATTCATTTGATTTATGAGCATTTTAATTTGAAAAGATAAATGTTTTAAATGTGTTAAATAAAGTAACTAAAGTAATATAAAATAATGTATTTAATGAGGTTTATAATGTAGAAATCAATTGTTGTAATAAAAAAAATCATTATCAGTATTACAAAGTCAGTAATTTTAAAACATCAGCAACAATTTAATAAAATTAAAAGCTTGAAAAAAATAAGGAATCTTTTTTTAACGTATCCAACAACACCCCTTAGTGAAATCAAAGATAAACTCTGAGTCTAATCCTAATCCCATAGGGTTAAAAACAGCTGGCTTGTTTTGTAATAGTCTAGAAGTACGATACGTATTCGTTTTTTCGTCTATTTTCAGTGTTGTGATGTCTATGAATAAATATAAATACATAGTAGATAGCCTTGTCATCACAGTCATACCTTGTTATAAATGTTACATTAGTGTATAAAGTTAATATAGATATTACTACGACCTAAAGAGAAAAAGATTTTACTTTAAGACATTTAAGCTTAACTAAAGACCATTTGCTAATTAGCAGAAATTGAATAACTATCATTTATTAATTATAAAGTAAATTATTTAAAAAAGCACATACATGATAAAGAAATAACGATGTCTGCAATATTAAACTGTAACATTAATTGAATAATTTTCATTAAAATTTTCTGATTCAATGGATAAAACTGTTTCTTATTCATTTTAGCTTAATAATCGTATCAAAAGATGCAATTCATTGTCAACTGTTTTTAAAATTTCTATCACAGTGCCCTTCTCCCCTTATTTATCAGTCTGATATCGCAGACACCCAACATTTTGCACACCCCTCCCTTACTCCTGACACACGGCTAGGTGATTTAAAAGTGTTCCTCAATAATCATAAGACTTCCTCTGCTGCTTATACACTTCCTTTTAACACTTCTTTTTCAATTCCTACTATTAGCTTACACTCTCTCCATATATATATATCTTTGTTCAAATTTTCAATCGTTAATGAAATACTTTTTATTCATCCAATCAAGTTCAAATACATTTTTTAAACTTGTAGTGGATGACATTTGATGTTAATGCAGTTTTTTTAAATATCAACTCATTAATTTTTTAATTAATGAATAAAAAGTAAAAAAACAAAAATAATAGTCCAATACCATCTATAAAAAGGAAATTCACTTGTTGTGTCCCTGAAGCGCGTTGGACTTTTGCTCCAAAGGTCGTGGGTTCGAATCCCACCTTAAGATGGCTTAATTTCTGAGAATGTGGTTCCTTTTTACCATACTATTTATTGAAATAATTAAATTTAATTAATGAATAAATAGTAACAAGGAAAATCGCTTTCTATTTGCCCACTTAATATTATGATTCTGTCATATGTATATACATATTTATTTTATTACGCATTATATGTAATTATTTAATAAAAAGTAACTAAATTAAAATTTTTCTTTGTTGAAGTAAGTAGGAATTGACTTTATTTTTTTATATTAGTTGTTTTCCTTTAAGAAAAACAGTAAACATTTAATTAAAAATATTACAAAATATTAATTTAATACTAGCTGAATTAAAATTCTTGATCGAAATACATGTTCTAGTATAGTTTTTTTTCATTGGGGACAATTTGATGATCTAATCTAAGATGGCACATCTTTCAATTTATTCACGAGGCCTTTCAGAGTATGTAAAAGAAATATTTCTTAACATTAAATAAGAGGTCATCGCGTGGACCTCCGAGAAAATTCTGGGGACCCACAGGAGTCCACGACCACAGTTTAAGAACCACTGCATTATATATAAGTATAATTCAAATTACTATTCTATACATTTCCATCTTTTGAGTAATATGTATTTTTCATTGAAAAACTTTCTTTCGCAATTATTTTCTACTTCAAAAATGCAGAACAAAAGATGACAGTGTAAAATAAAAATCAATCAACACCGTAATCCTTTTTACTCATAACATTTTTAAAGATATTTTTTTAAACATTTTATTTGGTTTTGAAAATGAGACTATCTACTTTATTTGTATTAATTTACAACAAAAAAGAAAAATCATACCGGAATTTTTTCTTTCTTTTCGTTTTGGAAATGCATACAATGAACATTGATGTTAAGGATGGGTCTTTACATTTACACGTGATATTTTTTGTGCGTAAATGAATAGGATCAACAAATAAATGGCGGTCACACATACGATAAAAACAAAAAAAGGTTGTATTCTTGAGAGATTTTAACACGGAAGAAATAGATAGAAAAAATACTTTAAACAGAGTAAAAAATTCAATAAACAAGTAAATTATTGAAATTTGAGAGCTATAACCAAATATGTGTTTTCTTTTTGTTTAACACTTTCAAAAACTTTCTGAAAAGATAAATCTCTTTTAAGGAGTGGCTGAACACCATTACGACTTTTTAAGCTATTATAATAACACATTTAACCATTTTTGCTTAGTTCTTACCAATAGATTCATACGACACAGTAATAAATTGAATCCATCGTTAAAAATTATAAAATAAATAATATTTTACATACTCAGAGAGTTCTAAATTCTATTTAAGTACGCAACTTACAATGGTAAGTTTTTAAATGATTAATAATATAATTAAAATAAATTTTTGCTGTTATGCAAAATATCTTTGTGAAAATAATTTGCTGAGGATATTTTTTAAGTTATTATCTTGATGACTAGTGGTCGCGGTATCTTAGTGGTTATGATCACAGGCTCTTGACCGGCGTGTCAGGAGTTTAAGTCCTATTGCCACTGAAGACCCTCCATGTAGAGTTAGTATGTCCAGATTCAAAATCCTCCCGTTGGCGTGGTGTGGTAGTTTGGAGAAGGGGTGCCATCTTAGTGCGTCCTCGTCACTCAACTTAACTCAGTGGCTCGACAACCTATGAGGACAAAGGCATATTGTGCCCAATTCATTATACGCGACCTTGGGCCCTGAGGTGTATGAGCAGATGTTCCGGTCAGGTGGTCAGTCTGACGTGAAATCCCCAGTGTTAAGTTCCCAAGAAAGCTTGGTACTCATTTTTCGACCCACTGTAGGGATGAAAGGCCGAGTCAATCTTACCCAGCCCGGGGTTTGAACCTCAGACCTGTGGTGTGGAAAGGCGCCTCGTCACTTGACCATTGTTTAAAATCACGAGGTCCATCATATTGCTTTATAGTGCGTCATTAATAAATACTCATTCTTGATGAATAATGTATCAAAAGGTTCTTAATATATCGTTAAAGTATTTTTTAGCAATTTATTGCGACTATACTCTTCAACACTGTTTATTTTTTGTCAATTTATTTCATAGCATTGAAAATTCAATTTTGTCTATTACAAAACATCTATTTCTAAATGACTAATTTGCATATTATTTTTCTCGCGTATCCATTAATTATTAACCTTTAACAAAACGTGAAGATAATGTAATTTAACATTTTTCAGTATAACGTGTAGTTTTAATTAAACGGAAATTTAATGAACAAATGCGTCTCAAAACCTTTATAAATACCTTTATAAAACCTTTGTATAACCTTTAACAAAACGTGAAGATAATGTAATTTAACATTTTTTAATATAACGTGTAGTTTTATTTAAATGGAAATTTAATGAACAAATGCATCAAAATCTTTATAAATACAATAATCATATTACCCAACACTTTTTTACTGCAATATTACAAAAAGGTGCCAAATAATTAAATTTATACCATTAAATCTATACGTATTCATTCTATAATTTACACTTAATGCTCTAAACGCTGACAATAATCATTTATTATTAATTATTTAAGTACCCTTGTAATACATATCGTACAAAATGATCGCCTTTTTTTGATAAATTATCCTTGAATAAGAATAGAAAAAGTTAAAAGCTAGTTAAGTCTTTCAAAATGTTCTTACAACTATCACCCAAAGATGAATGTTTTTCCAGACGATTAGAGATGCAGATATAACATCATCATACAAAGAATATCTGAAGCAACTGGGAGTCAAGAACGGACAACGCTTGGGGTTGAAGGCTCCAAAGAGATATTTCATTTTGCGGTCATGGTAAAAATCGTGAAACTTGTTAGCGGTCAATTGCTTCTCCTTGGTGTTTTTAAGGAGTCATTCGACTTTCTTTTTCTGTAGAATGTGTTTTTAAATGCTTTGGTAAGTTAACTTCTCATCAGTTGTTTTGTTTTAGTGAAAAACTGGAAAAGATGTTTTTGACTCAATGTTCTGTCTGAAATGTTCTATACTGGAGAAAAAATGTTGATAGTGTTTTACCTCAAATTTTTAAGCATCCTTGAATCGACATGAAGTTAAAAATATTAATGTTTTTCATTAATAAATATTAAAAAAAATTACTGTAAATACAGAATACAAGCCCATTCTGCATTGCCAAGTGTTCCAGAGTAAAAATAAAATTGTATTCAGCATGTTACCACATTTGCCCGCATATATATTGAACTATATTATCAATATTAGAAACGCAAAAATAGCGCATATTATTCCTGATGTTTAGCTAAGTAGTGAATATTTTTATTTAGATAAAAATAAATGGAGTAAATCATACTTTGAATAAATTTTTATTAACACATAATTTAGAAAAACAACTTTTGTTATTTACAGATATGAATGAAAATAATAAGGATTAAATATTTCAATAGTCTTAATATGAAGTATAACAAAAGAAATATCAAAAAAAATTATATCATCTGTATTACAAAATTTTTTCGATGCTTGATGAAACCATAAAACCCTTCACTGTAATATATATATATATATAATGTGAACGCGCGCGCGCGAGAGAGAGAGAGATGAAGTGTGGTATTCATTTTGTGAATTGTAGTCGTGGAGATAATTGTACATCCTAAGTAAAAGTGCTGTCAAGCAAGAGAGAGAGAGAGTTATAATTTTCTAAATTTAACCCTCTAGCTGGAACATCAATATTTTTGCCGCTCTGAGAAACATCCGTCTGACAGACGGGTACGCAAATATTTTTGAATTTCATCACCTTAAGGACTGTTTCGTGTCCTTATCGCTCCTGAAATTGAGTATGGTTCAAACAAGATGTGTAGGGTTAAATCAAGCACAACGTTTTTTTTAAAGATTTTTACATTAGGCAATTTAATTAAAAACATGAAACATATAAGCGAAAATACAATTTTTAATATTTGAGTCTTTATGTGAGGCACAATATATTAATATATTTTTATCACTAGAATTGTGATTAGTATTTTTATAAAAACTTATTAGAAATAATTTATATTCATGTAAAAGTAATTAAAAATAATAACTCCAAAAACGAAAAAAAAAAAAAAAACACTATAGGAACCAAAGTAAAACTAACAATGCATAAAATTATAGGAATCATCCATATCCATCAGACATTGGAGCTTTTGATGTATTTTGTTCTGCTTCTTGTCCTCCTACTGCTTTTTTGATAGTTTTTTTCAATTCTTCAGGCAATTTGGAATTTGGAGTATTTTTTTTTCATGTTACTATTGCACAATGACAAAGCAAGTTTATGTATAAAGTCATATCAGGATTTTTTTTGTTGTCTGGTCGGGATACTAAAACATACGTACGGAGGAATATCCATCTGATAGATGGTGATAGGCAAAAAAAAATCGCACATACCGTGAGTTGAAAAAAATTACCAAATACCACTACGTGTTTTTTTCACTGTGTAAAGTCCAACTGAAGATATCAAGGCATTCCCCCCCCCCAAAATCACACCACAACGGTATCTACAGGCATCGAAGCAAATAATCCCCATCTGAGAGACGGATGTTCCGGCCAGAGGGTTAAATACAAAAAAAAGCAGAGAAAAATGGAATATAAGAAATATAATCACGAGTTCAAATGAAGGGAAATATCAGTTATTTTTAGAAATTACATTTGTGTTTTAGGAAAACTTAAGACCCATAAAGTAAGGCGCGTGTAAGCAATTAAGATATTCTTTTACTAGGAATCGCCAATACATCTGTAAAAAATTCAAGGCCTTACCCTTTGAATAAATAATTACTAATAAATCTGTCAAAATATAAGTTTTAATCCTTAAATGCTAATTGAAATGAAACGCGTTTCAAAATAGGGTATTCGGAATTATGATTGGGAGGAAAAATGGTATGATTAGAACTTTATGTAAATATTAAATTATCACACACACACACCTAAAGTACAATTTTATATGTATGTCATAAAATCGGGCGTACAACGCGCATTTTTAACACAAAAAGTAAGATCAAAATTTACGG